TATGGTAGACAACCTGATCATATAGCCAAGGTCTTTCAATTAAAATGTAAGTAACATTCACGAGAATAACATCACACCAAACATTTATGAATAGAAAAAGAATCCAAACACCTTTTAGTTATTAAAAAGGAAGTATTGTCGATCAATCTAAGCAACTTTGTATGGGTGATGCAACTACCACCATCAATAATAAGATTTTTAGCTTAATTTCCACACTTAACCAATGTTTGAAAAATAGTAGTTTGCCTCCAATCATCCTCTTTCTTTGGAACAGAAAATATTTGTCTCACCACATTTACAAGTGAAGCATCTACATCATTATCTTGCAAATCGATACCACCAAAGTTTCCAAAATCATCTTTTTTGGGTGAATCATACATATAATCTTGTTTATCATGAGCTTGTGGTTCAAGCCTCTTTTCATGTTGTTCAATAGTCACATGCAAAGCTTTTTTTGTTGAACACTCATAAGCCATATGGTTGTGTCCTTGGGAATGAATACAAAATGGCCTCTTATCTCCCTTGGACTGACCATCTACTATAAGTGCTTTTCCTTTAAGATCATATGGATCATTAAGTCTAGAGCCATTTGGTCGATTAGTAGTGCCATATGGTGGTGTTGGATGAATAGTTTAAACAAATTAGGAAGTATTTGAGTTACCATTTTTCCAATTTGAGAAGGAAATTTCTTAATATGTTGTTGTCGCATGCTCTTCTCAAAATTTAAGGCTATTTGGAAGGCTTTATCCACATCATAAAAACGATGAACAACCATTTGGTTCCTTATTTAAGCCCTCAATCCATATTTGAAATGTAAAAGTGTTTGGCGTGGATTTTCAATTCCTATACACCAAACTTTCAACTCTTCAAATTTGTTCATATACTCCCACCACCAATATGTTTCCTTGTTTTAAATTGTTAAGTTGATCAAAGAAATCATCTTCGTAATCGCAAGGCAAAAAACTTCTGCTTCAACTTTAGCTTCATCTCCTCCCAATGGATGATGGGTGGTTATCCAACATCTTTTAATTCATTCTCTACACCAATCCACCACGCTTATGCTTGTCTAACAAACTTCATGATAGTAAACCTAACCCTCCTCTCATTTGACATATCATACCGAAGTGCCTTTCTAAAGTGGCAAGCCAATAAAAAAAAAGCTTGAGAATCAATTTTACCATGAAAATTTGGAACTTCAACTCGTACCTTCTTGGTGATATCTCTAGTTGCCTTATATGCATCATATCTGTCATGTTGATCTTACTCTAGTACTTCATGTTCCATCTCCAAAAGAGATGGTTGAGGCCTCCCATATGGTTGCATTGCTCGTGGGCTTGGCCTTAATGATGTTGAAATCCTCTCCCTCCTTGTTTTGGCTTCATCAACAAGTTTTCCACCATTCCTTGATGCATTAGAAGAAGCCTCTCTAGTGGTACTTGCAACATTAACTTGTGGCTATTGAGAACCTTGTTGTAACTCCTTGATTTGAGCTTCCAATGCATCAACCCTTTCCATGATCATGTAAATGAAATTATCCCGCTGCCTATCAGTCAATCTTCCTCTAAAGTTCTTTCCTCTATGAGTTATCATAGTGTTGATCTTTACTCTAATACCAAACTGATGTAGGATCTTTGTAATTCAACACTATTCTTGAAACCAACTTAAGTCTTGATGTGTAGCACAAACAAAGAACTAACATAGAAAGAAGAGAAGAGGGAAGAGATGGAAATAAGATGAAAACCCTAGGTAATCACACCTAAGGGTGAGGGCAATCACACATCCAAACAAAGGGAAATTACTAGACCAAGACCTATTCCCAAACATACCCCAAAACATAAAAAATTACAAAAATACCCTTATTATCCAAAAAAGTAAGAAAACCAAATAAGTCCTATCCAACAGCAAATTCATCCACACAAAGAACATCCTAGGTGGATTGAAGACTCAATGATCTTCCCAAGTTGATCCACTACTAACCTAGCTTCCATGTGGGCCCCATGTCTTCATAATGATACCAAATGAGCATAGGAGCATCTTTGGTTCTCTTTTGATATGCCTTAAATTGATCCCCATTAGGCATATTACATTGTTGAATCTTAAGTATCATGTTTATATTGGATTTAGATTTGTAATTGAATATTATTAACATTAATAAATCATTAAAAAATGATTAAAATAATGTTATTAAATAGTAAATGAACTAATATGACTTTTTTCTAGTAACTTAGGATACAATCACTTTGATACTGTATATCATGAATAAAATGAATTGAAAATAAGCAAATTTTCAGATTCCTTCACTTCTCACATTTGAAGCTGGATTTGCTCATCTCTTGTACTTGTACATTCTCATTCATGGAAGATGTTCCTAATGCATGGCTGAGATGTGTTGTGAAGTTGGTATTAGGCATGCTCTAACAAGAGCAAATTCATGCCCCATTTGGTTTACGGGAATGGGGATTTGGAATCAGAATCAGAATGCCATTTTGATTCTAATTGTTTGGTTGAGCGGAATCAGAATCCCATTCCCATTCCTACTGGAATGGCATTCCCCCATTTCCTACCCCTCCCTTGGGAATGAAATCCTATTCTGCTAAATCCTATTACAATTCCCATTCTCATTCCTATCTAAACCAAACCAATAGACCGTTTTGATTCCAATTCCAATTCTAACCGCAAACAAAACGGGCCCTCAATTTCCATAAATTTTTATCTATTTATACAGTTGGGAAAACCTAACATAAGTGGGGGATTTTGGGAAATAAAATAAGATTAAAAACAAATAAAAAATGGTCAGACAGGTAAAGTGAACATTTCTCTTCAAAATAACTTGTCATCAAACTTGAATTCACACTAACCCTTTCTACTTCATGTGTTGCAACTTGTGAGATTTCTGGGCCGTCCAAATATCATCACTGGACAATCTCTTCAATTAGTGTTATTCCATCATTAATGTTTTGACAAGGACATATATGCTCCAAGTTGGACATTTTGCAGTTTAACATGTCATGGCATAATTTCTCTATTCTAACGTCAAACGTTACAATCTCCGTTGAAGTCTGAAGATAGACCTGCTCATGAAATGATGAAAAGTCAACATACAAATCACACTATCACTCAGTTGGAACTTTTGTCATATAATGGCCTATGTCATGATTTTCAAAACATTAGGCTGTGTTTGGTTTGAAAGAAAAGGAAGGAAAACCTGCGTTCCCTACCTTTTCTTTCAAACCAAACACAGCCTTAAGGATTTGAACACTTGTCAAAAGAAAAGCATTACAAGAATTAGGTAAAAAGCTACAGAGGTAGAAATCTAGAGAGGAGCGTATTAATCCACAGGAATTACTATATGCAAGTGTGTGTGGATGTAGTAAAACAGGGAAAGAAAAAAGAAAGATGCTCATTAAAAAATTTGATCTAATCCAATCACTTCATCACAGAACTTTTTAAAATAAAACATGTAATGTAGTGAGAATCATGGTTTGTTTGATCATTTGCTAATAACATTCAAAATTCTGGAATATAAAGCTTTTTTTTTTTTCTTTTGGCAAAACTGAAAAGAGCAATCACTAAGAAGATGTTAAATTAGATCTCCATCCATATTCTGTTTTTGCTTTTGTTGGATAATCGGAAGATTAGAGTAGCAGAATTTGTGAAAACTCGACCAAAATTTAGAGCCCAATTCAATGCAACTATCATGGCCTATTGCTCCACTTATTCTGGGCTCAGAACCTTCAAATGTTTTCTAATTGCTGCAACACAAATTTTGGTCGGTGATATCACTATAAAGTATGGGTGTCAATTGGTCTGAATTTGATCAAGTCCGATCCAATCCAATGTGAGTCCTTTACAAATGGATCAGGTCCAATCCAATTCAATGAACTTTATGGACCATTTTGGACTGGTCCAGTTCAATATTTGGACTGTTTAATTTGTTTTAATTTAGATTAATTCTAATCTAAGTTTGGCCCATTGATATCTATATTCTTATCTTCTATCAATAGACTGGATAGTATTTCAATCCAATCGAATCCAATATAAATTCATTACGGATGGGCCGGGTCTAATCCAATTCAATAAATACTTTGAACTATTAAATCTGGACTGGTCTAATACAATATGTCTTGTTGGCCCGTCTAATCCATCCAAATTGATTTTGGTTTGGATGGATGCAATTGAAAACCGGTCCATTGAAAAAGAATAAATGTCATCTCCAAAGGGTAAAACATTTTGATTTGATATAGCTTCATAGTTGTTCATGGTAGCAGAACCATGTCAATGCCAATTAAATCAACCTTAGGTGTCAACTATTAATAGCATTAGGGTGAACCATGTCAGTGCTAACAACTATGCCATGGCCAAATGATAACATTCATAAATAGTAGCCTACAACATGTATGCCTTTAGAACTACATGGCTCCAATATGATCTCCACTTTAGGCTGCATTTGGATGCACTTCAAATTTATTTGAACTGATGCAAAATTATGTTTAAACCCAAAACAATATTAAACCAGAATTTGCATTTTCTTTGTTTCCACTCCCATGCATTTGTACAAATACATTTAAAATTGCACTGCAATCAAATACAGCCTTATTTTAAAATTTTTATGCCAAGTTTGCTCCCATTTTGTTAAAAATAAATTTACTTTAATCTTCTACGTATTACTAAGAGAAATGCCTACATTTTTAATACAAACACTGAAGACAAGTGCAAATTTATTTTGGGTCTGCATTTACTTCTTAATGCATACAAAAGAAAGTAGGGCTGCTAACAGTATCTGATTATCCAAATTCAAATTCGAATTTGATTGATCCGATTCGAATTCGAATGTAAAAATCAAATTCGGACATGCCTATCCGATCCGATCCGATTCGTTTGCAGCCAAACCACTTTTCTGCTTCCTACATTCGTAGTTGGGGTGACATGCGCACTATGTATAGCTTAGTAGCATTCCTTACATGCATTACACAAAAGTAAACAAAATTACAAAACAAACAAACGAAAAAACAGAAAAAGGAAAACGAAAGGAGTTGGTGTGTTAGTCTCTTAACTGGGGGTCTCCATTGAAGACCTGCTTCTCTTTTATCCATGACTACACCACCTTCACGTCAGGGAATCTCTGCGCCTGGCATTAAAGTCTCTCAGTTCAATTTCAGATTCCTCTGCACTGCCGGTAAACGGTTCCAAAACTTCTTTAGAATCAAATTTCCAAGACCAACCTAAGGAAGAGGAGGCCATTTCTGGGTTGTTTTCTCCACCTCGATCTCAAATGGGTCGGAAGTCAAGCGACTCCGAAGCTAGCCGTTGGGCTCTTCTGATCCTTCTATTGATCGGTCTCGCCTCCTGTTCTCTGGTTTATATGTGTATATCCGTGGTGTTTAGACCCAAGATCATTCCTTCGGTTGTAGACTTGGATTCAGAGGTATTATCGTCATCTATGACTAATGAAGATTTGGAAGGAGTTTCCGGGTCAGAGGAGGGGGAGTGTTGCAAGGGGATCGAGAATTTGGAGCTTTGGGGGGCTGCTGTGAAGTGGGGTTCGGATTTCAAGTTTAATACTTCTGAGGAGTGTTGTCAGGCATGCAAGGCGATGTGCAGCGGCGGAGACGGACCTTGCTTGTGCGATACGTGGGTCTTTTGCGGAAGCAGAGAAACTTGCGGTCCGAAGTTTGGTGAGGTGAGTTGTGAATTATCATATTCATGCGAATTTTTGTTTGTTGTTCTCTAAAATGTACAATGAGATGGATTTTAGTTGTTTTAATCGTTTTTGGTTAATTGGATAAAATGTGATGATCAAATTAAAAGGTGATATGAGTTTCTTTTATTTCAATTTTCTTATTCAATGGGCATGGACAACATTCGTTTCTCTGAGTCCTGAGTCCAAATTGATATTCTGGATTGTTTGGTTTGTCTGGAAATGCTTTTATGTTTCTAAATAAAAAACTGCCAAATAGCCTCATACAACTTGAGCTGTCCATCCTCTGATAATTGAGCTGTTATTTTGATGTCACGGAACATTTATAGATCTTATGGGAATTGATTTACAGCAAAGTGATTTCTGATGAACGCACAAACGCACATCAAACGTGTTAAGTAATTGCTCTCCAATATAAAGGAAAATGAAATCAGATATTGGAACATAATTGACTTAATCTAAAATGGCATGACAAAACTACATAATGTTTGGTATTTAATGTACAAAGGGCATCGTTCAAAATGGTAGACACTAAATGCGAATATTAAAAATGAAATCGTTTTAGGATTTTGGGAAATGACATCCTTATTTATCACTATAGTGATGACTCTACTTTGGGTTTTGAATGATGCACTTATGCATTCAGATGCCTCTGATAGTCTGACGTTATTATGTGGTCTTGGATGCCAGTTCAGTTGAACTTCATTGTGTATCCAGTTGCACCATTATTGAATTATATACTCCACATCTGGTTGGTATTTTCACTGTTGTAAGTTACAGGTACTCTGTGTAAATTTTAGAGATTTTATCTGTGGTTGTTCTTTCTGACCGGTTGGAATTTGGATAGTTTTTGCACACTTTTAAAAAGTTATTCTTCTAAATTTTTTGTGAGCATTAACAAAATGTATGCGTTTTTTTGTCTTATATGTTTTTTAGGTAGACAGATATGCACTACTGTTTCTTATATAACATTGGGTTATCTAATATGATCTTCTTGCTTTCAGTGTTGGTTGAAGAAGCAGAGGGATACATTAGCTCCCGATCATCATTTGTCAGGAGAGCCGCAGATTTGGACTTCTGGGCTTATTTTTGGAAAAGGAGAAGTATGTAACCATAACTACTTGTTCTTGAATTCTCTAGCCTTGGCATGAAGAATGGATTTATATGCTATAATGGACCCCACATTGCTTTTCTGCTTGAAGGCATCATCAAATAATAACTGGCATTTCATAGCATTTTCACTTATCTTAATTTAATGCTCTTGTTGCTAAGGCTCCATTTGTTTCAATATGAAAGAGGCAGAAGACTTTTCACTCCGAAACATTTCAGCAGTTCAGCTATATTTTTTGTTCCTTTTATTGTGGAAGCCATTGTTTTTTTCCCACTTTTGCATTCAAACAAATAATGCCAAGGAGAACGAGTGGACATGGGTACATACACGTTATAAACAATGTAATCAAAATTATGATTTTTCCACTTTTCAACTGTAGCAGGATAATGCTTATTTTCTTATGAGGTTTAAGATATTTGCTACTAGATGACTGTTTTTCTTTACACCAATGATATTTACAAACTTATTGAATCATGAATATGGTTATTATAAGGGGCCAGCTCTTAATTTTTCTTCCCTATAGATATAATCTAGAAACTGGCAGAACTATAGTTTAAATTGGTGCTTTTATTGACATCTCTGGGCCTTGAGTTCAGCATAAACCAAACTATGTTGGTCAAAGATGATGAATTGATGATAATATATAGAGATAACAATAGCATATGACTTTATCTAATTATTTGTAGAATGAAGATAATTAGCTACCCTGATACATGAACTGAATAGCATGGTAAACACAATGTAGACAGATTTTAGCAAATAGAATTTCTTCTTTTCTCTTACAAGCCTGTTCCTACTTCAACTTGTCATGGTGGTAACTTCTTATTGTAGGTCCTTGTGTGGGTCATAAGAACCATGGTGAAGGGTATGGATCAACAACTTTTGCCTCTATCTGGGCCATTTTTTTTTTCTAAAGGAAATTTACCTGGTCATCAGAACCAGTCAAATCATGTAATGCCTTTTTGACCAGGCAAACTGACTCTGTAATAACTGAGAAATTTTGATTATTAACATAACCTATACAGCATAAGGAAACGAAGCTAGCATTTTATAGTGCTAATATATCTCATCAATTTCACAACCTAACTCACTCTGAATGGACTACCATGTGAGTTTTTAACAGTTCGAGATCGTCTAACCTGATATGGGCAAATGACAATAATGTGAATTAACTTCCAAAGGGAATGGATGCCTCATTGGTACCCTTGAATGTGGGAATCACTGATAGTTTTTAGTACTGTTGGACAAGTCTAAAAACCCTGAATGTTGCTTTATTTGGATTGTAGTGAAAATGGAAACTTTGGGGACTATTGAAAAAAGGCAATTTGGAGGCAGGGATGTGAATGAACTACCAAATGGAATTGGTATCTCAATGGTACCCCTCATTCTGGGGATCCCACGATTCACTCCTATAATATGAGTCTAAAAAATCCATAATGTTAATGTTGTATTTATATTGCAGGAGAAAATGGCAACTATGGGGGTAAAGAGAATTGGGAAATGGCAGTTCTTCAAATTTCGTGATTCTTCTGTTTTAGTCCAATTCCATAGTAGAGAGGTAATCAGAGACGGCAGATTTTTAAAATGACAAGTTTACCTAGGGGGAGGGGGAGTATTTTGAATCACACAGAAGTGGACAGGAATCAAATCTAATTTTGACTCCACCCCATGATCCAGATACAGCCTAGGCATGGTCTTAATGTTAAGTCTTAAACAGGAACTATAAGTGGCAGAATAAGGCAATTAACATAGAAATTATAATAGAATTCCAAGAATCAAAAACCTTTGCTGAGATTGGATTGCAGTAGAATGTAAGTATCAGCTACTAACACTGTTGGTCAAATGGTGTATGGATTTTTTAGGACAAATAGAGAAGTGTGCAGGCAATCACTGAAATCATCACAGTCAAGGTGGCGCATTGGGTGAGGACTATGGATCTCTTCTCAGACTTTACTACTGATGATATTATCAGGAACTGGGGTGCAGTGGCAAGTGCTTCCTCAAAAAGAACAAAGGTTGGTTGGGACTGGACTTAGACTCCACTGAAAGGGACTTTTGAAGCTAAACTTTGATGGAAGCAGTTTGTGTAACCCAGGACCATCTGGAATGGAGGAGCTTTAAGGGATGAAAATGGGGTTATATTTGCAATGTTTTCTGGACTAACATATGAAGAGAGTTCCATTAAGGCAGAATTCTTAGTAGTAGTTTTTGGAGTACAAAAGGCAAATGATATAGGGGGGTGGAGAGACTCATAATTGAAGGAGATTTGAAAGTATAGTTAAGTTGGTTGATGAAGGAAGGTGATGCATTTGGCTTTACAAGAATGGAAACAAATGTTTCAAGTGGCTCTCAAGAAGCATGCAATTATCAATACAATGGGTATCAAGATCAGATCAGATACTTCCATGGCTGATACTCTAGTTCAAGGTTCAAAGTATTGATACACCCTGATATGGCGGAAGGGGKGTATCGGTACTTTGTACCACATGCACATCATTTTTTTTTWKTTTTTTTTTTTTTTTTTTTTTAAATAGGGAGGGGTAGGTTTGAGTATTATTTAACATTTAAAACAGTCAGTATTGGGATTAGCCTTAAAAAAGGCATATCAACAGGTGGCCAATATGATGGGCGTATCATGTTGATACTTTGAACCTTTCTCTAGTTAAACAAGGAGTACATGGGAGATAATTATTTTAGGCTCAATTGTTCATCCAAACCTTACCTCAACTATATGGGGTTGGCTACATGAATCCTATTTCTTAGGGATGGCAAATTTCCCCTAATCCTTGTGGGGTACCTGCCCTGAATGGGGTGGAGATGGGGATGATTTTCCTCCCGCAGGGATAGGGATGGGGAAATTTTCATCCTTGTTGGCAGGGGCAGGGAGAGCACTCCCACAGGGATATGTATGTTAATATTTTTAAAGATATGGTTGAATATATTTGGATCATTTTTAATAGGGTTGTAAATTTGAACTATTTATTTTTAATTTTTTTAAATGAAATAAAAAACAGAAACAAAATGATTGACATCATAAAAAATCATGGGGACTGGGGATCCTTGTGGGGATGGGGATGAGGATAACCTTGTCCTCCTTGGTGGGGACAGGGATAGGGATTTTCGTGGGGATGGGGATGGGGATGGCTCCCTGTCCTTGCCCCTCCCTGTTACTATTCCTACTATTTCTCCAGTCTGTGTTCTGTTTAGTGCCACATCCATTGTTAAATTATTGGCGCTTAAATAATTTCTTACTACTTCTATCCATGTCATTTTTGGTCTACCTATTGCCCTTCTAGCCCCTTCAGCTTGTAACAAATCACTTCTTACGGGTGTTATTGGTGGTCTTCTTTCACATGACAAAACCATCTTAGTCTACTCTCTCATTTCATTACCTATTGGAGCCACTCCTAAGTTCCTACAAATGACTTCATTTTTTATCCTATCCTTTCTAGATTTTCCACTCATCCATCTTAGCATACCCATTCCTGCCACACTCATTTTCTGGATATGTTGTTTCTTGACTGCCCAACACTTTGCTCCATACAACATAGCTGGCCTTACAACTGTTTTATAGAAATTTCTTTTTAATCCAAGTGGTATTTACCTATGACATAAAACTCCAAATGCAACCCTCCATTTTGCCCATTTTGCTCTAATTCTATGGGCGACATCCTCATCAATTATTCCTTGTTATGACTTATGAATTGTCATACCAAGGTACTGAAAAAGGTCACATTGAGTTATCTCTTGGTCTCGTATCCTAAGTGCACCCTGAGTTGCACTCACATTATTATTAAATTTACATAGCATATATGTTGTTCTTTTTCCTTTCCTACTTACCTTAAAACCTCTTGTTTCTAAAGCATTTGTCATCAGCAAACAACATGCACCATGGGACCTCCTCCTAGATATGTTTAGTCAATTTATCCATGACCAGTGCAAATAAATAAGGGCTAAGTACTGAACCTTGTGTGAAGGCCCATTGTAACCGTAAAATGTAAGGGGGAGGGTTATTAGGGGCTGTACCCTCTTGGGCTGTATAGATATGTACAGAAACACTCTCAACTCTCATGATACACCTATATTTTCTCTTAATAAAAATTTCTGTTATTTATAAAAAATGGTTTATGGATTTTAATACATATCTTGATAGAGCTTATGCTTTTATTTCTTGGAAAACAAACATTCATTCCAACTGGATGGGCAATTCCAAAGACAAGCCGGAAGCTATATGACACTAATCATGTAAGCACCTCAAGGATGATTATAATCTGGTTCATTCATTTTTTTTTCACAAGCAGAAATAATTATTTTATGTATCTGTATAGTATGCACACCTACCCAAGGGATTTAGTGATTAAGAGTTAAGACCTCATAAGTAAACTATATCTATCTATCTATCTATCTATACACACACACACACACACACACACACACACACACACACACTAGTAGGGACCGTGCGATGTGTGGCCTGGTGTTAAATAGAATATTTGATCACATCTATTATGAATTTTTAAAACAAAAAAATTTCAATATTTAATCATCATTTTATCAATAAAAAATAATTTATTCTATTTTATTACCCTAATTTAACTATGAGACTGGACAAAAAAATAGTAACATACACTCCAATCATTTTCCCCTTGTGTTGTATGCCCCTTTAGTATAGAAGAAACCCTATAGCCAAGGTCATTGGTAGTAACAGAATGAACACTATGCATCTCTAAAAAGCAGCTTGCCTTTAATATACAGCGTTCTTGCTGCATTATGGATATGGATCGACTTCCACCACATTGTAAAGGCATGTGCTACTCCGACAACTTGGACAGAAAACGGAGTTCTTGCTGAAAATGAAAGAAAAAGGAATATTGGAAGTATACCTGGGTTTGAAACCATTGTTTGAAGACCTAGCCTATACCTGGGTTTGAAACCATTGTTTGAAGACCTACTCTAACTTTGACAGTAAAGTCATTGGATATCTACCCTAAC